ACACAGGGCTGGGATGTAGCTTACTGGCAGAGCATGTGCTTAGCATGTGTGAGATCCTTGGTTCAATCCCCCCCCCCCCAAAAAAAAAGTTAACATAAAGAGAAGGCTTAACAGTAGAGACAAAAAAGAAAAGTTCCTAAAATTTAGTACAGCAGAGTAAAAGGGAAGACACAAATAACTTGAGTTTCAAAATATATAAAAATAAATTCTGCATGTAATTGTAAAATGTATATTCTATTTAAGAAACAGATAATTATTATTTCTTACCTCTTGAACATTGAACCTTAGGATCTCCTTCATGTAAGTAGGCAATAATGTCAATAAAGTATAAAAAGTCCAGTTGTACGAAAAATGAGCAACTACAATAGCCCAAAGTGGTAGTGATTTTAAAATGGGTATCCATGGCACTGACTTCTGTGAAGAAAGCTAAAGAAAACAGATAAAGCTAGAATAAGCTATAGCTGTGTTAATGTTGAGACCTGTATCTTATCAGCTGAGACTCAATCTAGACCACATAGAGAACATCAGCCCTGATTAGTAAATTCTACATTTAAAAATCAACTCCTTTGAGATATTAAATAGAAGAATACATTATAAATGTTTAATTGTTTCATTAAATATATACACATACATATATAAATATATAAGTTCATATATATATAAATATATATACATACATATATCAATATACATAAATATATACATACACACATATATAAATATATATATATATAAATTTATATATACAAATATATATATATGTATTTATATATATTAACTAGAAAGTTCAGGATTCGGATTACAGGGAAAAAATGGCAATATAATTGTAGAGTTATAATGTCAACGCTAAGAACTCCTTATGATGTTAGAAGTCACCTTCAACATCAATATCTCCATGAAATAGAGAATAGTTTCAAAATCACAGTAAAAAGTTCACATAAGGATAAATAAAAGAGATCAGAAGATCAAGTTAGAATTAATATTTTATTATTCAATCTTTATTCAATGTAAATGATTCATAAGAGTTGTGCAAGCTGGGTATGGTGGCTTACGTTGCTAGTACTGGCTACTTGGAAGGCTACGGTGGGAAGATTGTTTGAGCCTACAAGTTCAAGACCAGCCATGGCAACACAGTCTGACCCCATCTCAAAAAGAAAAATAAATTATGTAATAGAAAGGATTTGTATATAGCCATATCTAGTAGTGGTCTTCAAAGTAAGATGTAAGCACCCCAGAGATATATAAGATGACCCACTGGGGTGAAGAAAGACTTATTAGAATTTCTATTTACACTAATTTTTTTTTTTCTGAAAAAGAAACTAAACTCTATCAATATTTAATAAATAGGCTGGCTCTAGATATATTGGACGATCATGTATGGAATGATTTCCCTAATTCAGAGGAGTTAATAATGGCATCCTCACTTGTCTATTTGCCCTCAGAGTTTTATGACATATTTTGAAGTTTACAATTTAAGTAATGTAAGTGGATTTATGATTTGAGTTTTAATTAAAACAAACCTCAAATAATGGACCATGTCTTCAAAAGATTCCTACAGAGCAACAGAGGAGAATCATAGTAATATAAGCATGATGAACATTAAGAAAGCATCTAAGCTGCCATTTTTCCTCCTGATTATTTTGTTACTAACTAACTCATCAAGCAAAACAACAGGAAATCATAAAAGAAAGCATATTCAAACACATGGCCTTCATTAGACAGCAGTATTATGTTAACTAATTAGTACTATTTTTAAAGTGACAGCAAAAAGGTTATTCCTATTAAAAACTTTAAAAATATACATGTATACTTTTTATTTCATTTTATTCACCCTTTAAAAGGTCCATTTTTTGGGCTGGTGATGTAGCTCAGTGATAGAGTGCTTGCCTAACATGTGCAAGGCTCTGGGTTTAATCCCCAGTACAACACAAAAAAGTCTATTTTTGTATATACTTATGATGAATGCAAGTACAATAATATATTTGGGTAACTTCTGAGTAAATATAAATACATTCAGATTGTGAGCCCCCTACCTGTTTATGGATGGGTTGCATGATCAAGAAAGCTTGGAGATCACTAGTCTGGGGTATTGAATTTTTATATTTCTATACACTGAGGTTCTCTGGTTCCTTTCTCAAAAACAAGAACAATTTGTTTCTGTTTCCAGGGTTCACTGTTATTTCAAAAAGAGGAAAAATCAGCATTAACCTTCTTCTGGCCTTTTTCATATGGACTTTTTATTGGATATCTTAGTAGATATACTCTTTTATTTCCTATCTTATAACAGAGATATAAGGGGTATGCCAGGTGCAATGGTGCATTTGTATGATCCCAGTGACTTGGGAAGCTGAGCCAGGAGGCTTAAGAGTTCGAGGCCAGCCTCAGGTTGAGAGTCCGAGGTGTATAGTAAGACTCTATTGCAATATAAAATTTAAAAAAGGATAGGTATATAGCTCAGTAGTTTCCCTGTTAAATCCCCAGTACAATGAAGAGGGGTGGGAGAGATAAGGGATAGAAGGGAAGAGGGGAATTTATTCTTTTATAGCAGTGATTTTTTTTTTTTTTTGTACTAGGGATTAAAACCAAGGACACTTAACCGCTGAGCCATATTTACAGCCCTTTTTATTTTTCATTTTGAGACAGGGTCTCACTGAGTTGCTTAGGGCCTCACTAGGTTGCTGAGGCTAGCTTCAAACCAGTACTCCTCCTGCCTCAGACTCCCAAGCTGCTGGGATTACTGTACCAGGCTTACAAAAGTGAGTCTTAATTCCAGCTGTACTTCAGAATAACTTCTAGCACTTAAAAATTGCAGATGCCTGTACTTTCCCCCTGACCTTTTGAACAAATGAAAACAAGCAAAACAACAACAAAAATCATCTGAATGTAGTACCAAGGAATCTAAAATTTAGAAGGCTTTTACAGCTGGTTCTATAGAGAAATGGTTCCTAAACTTTGCTGCCATATTAAAGTCAACCAGGGAGACCAACATCATTCTCCACACCAATTACATAGTTTYGGGATGAATGAGAGGTAGGCATCTCTCCCATCCACCTCTAATCTATCTACTGTGGTCCATCTATGAGAGAGAGAAATCTATCCATCCAGACAGCCATCTACATTTTTGAAGATGAGATCCGTGTTGCCCAGGCTGAACTCAAATTCTTGGACTCAAGTGATCTTCTTACCTCAGTCTCCTGAGTAGCTGGGATTACAGGCACAAGCCATTGTATCTTGCTGGCATCTATAGTTTTTTAAAGATCCCAGAGGAATTCAATGTGCAGCAAGTTTAGGGATCAATCTTGCTGTAAAGATTAGATTAAAAGAAAGTCCACTTCCTCTCATCCCCTTGATTGAAGAGCTCAGGGAAGAGGATTTTAGAGACTGAATGAATTAAGAACATTTTAATATGGTTTTAAAATCCATAAAGGAAGTGAAATATTTCAAAGATTGTATGGTCTGTGTCTTTTATAGTTTTCTGCCAGTATTTAGTAGTAATCTTATTTATACAAATGAAACATTTTTAGCCAGACTGGCATATTTTCACATCCTATAAATATCAATTTTATTTTTTTTAAAGAGAGAGAGAGAGAGAGAGAGAGAGAGAGAGAGAGAGAGAGAGAATTTTAAAGAGAGAGAATTTTTTTAATATTTATTTTTTAATTTTCGGCAGACACAACATCTTTGTTTGTATGTGGTGCTGAGGATCGAACCTGGGCCACACGTATGCCAGGCGAGCGCGCTTCAGCTTGAGCCACATCCCCAGCCCTCAATTTAATTTTTGATAATCTGATGGAGTTTTTTGGGAGAATCACCCAATCAAAATCAGTTGTATGTGCAACATATGAGCCTGACAAAAAGTAGGTTTTCTCTTTTTTTTGGTACTGGGGATTGAACCTAGGGGTGCTTTAGCATTAAGCTACATCACAAATTCGGTTTATTTATTTATGGTACTGGAGATTTAACCCAGGGGACATTCTACAATTGAGCTACATCCCTAGCCCTTTTTTATTTTGAGACAAGGTCTCATGCTAAGTTGCCATCCTGCCTTAAACTTGTGATCATTCTGCCTCAGTCTCCCTAGTAGCTGGGATTATAGGCACGTGCTACTGTATCTAGGAAAGATAAATTTTTATTTTATTTATTTATTTTTTTAATATTTATTTATTTTTTAAGTTTTTCGGTGGACACAACATCTATGTTTGTATGTGGTGCTGAGGATTGAACCTGGGCCGCACACATGCCAGGTGAGCGTGCTACCACTCGAGCCACATCCCCAGCCCCAAGATAAATTTTTAAATGTTATTAGGATAAACTACCCAAGTATCTAGAGACATTAAAAAAAATTCTTCAAGGCTTTTTTTGGGAGAATCATCCAATTTCCCAAAGGTAGCATTGTCCCAGGTAGCACTGTCTAATAGAACCTTCTATGATAATGCAAATGTTCTTCTGTATTTGTCTTTTTCAATGGTAACCAACAGACATGTAGCTATGACAATGAAAATGTTATTTTATATTTGTGTTGTTCAATATGGTAACCAATAGACATGTGGCTATTAAGTCCTTGCAATTTGGCTACTGTAACTGATAACATGGAATTTTTAATTAAATTACTATTTATTAACGGTGCTAGGGATTTAAATGAGGGTCTCATGCATGCTGAGCATGTGCTCTACTACTGAGCTACACCTTCTACCCTTAATTATATCAGTTTCAATTAAAATTTAATGCCCACTTGGGGCTGGTGGCTACCACATCGGATAGCACAGGTTATCATAGACCTTAATGAAGTACAAACAGCTTTTTCTGATTTTCTAAATCCAGAGATTATTTTCTTGTTATTATTTCCAAGACATTATTATCAGAGATGATTTGCCAATGAAGCAATATAAACACATATTCTCCATGGCTTCATTATAGCCAACTGTTGGCCAAAAAATCTTATGAAAGCTTTTATTAGAGCTCTACATTCTTCTAAAATGCCACTGCTGATAAATGAAAATACACACAGGTAGGAAATTTAAAAATTTCTCAGATCATTTGTCAAGGCAATAGTTTGAAAGTAAACTTTCCTTAGAGATCTGAGTGATAAAATAGGCATTGTGGCTTATGTCTGTAATCCCAGCTACTCAGGAGGCTTAGGCAGGATGATCATAAATTGAAGGCTAGCAACAGCAATACAGAGATTATGTCTCAAAAGTTAAAAAATTGAAAGGTCTGAGGAGTCAAGTCAGTGGTAGAGTTCTTGCACAGAATGTGCAAGGCCTTGGGTTCAATCCACATTACTGTCAAAAAAAAAAAAAAAGCAGTTTTGAGTGATAATGAAATTCATGGAAGAAAAATTGATGAAGTACTGAAGTTTAGGTAATTTATCATTAAATTTATAACAATAGCTCAAGCAGCATTTTTTTCATACAAATTGAAATGGAAAAGAACAAACTATAAAAATTATTTGTTGCCAAATGCGTAAAATCTTGAATATAAGGAGAGTAAGGTCATTCAACAAATACTTGAATATATTCTAGTGTGACATTGCATAGAAAAATATTTTCTTATAAAATGCAAACAGCAGCAGTTGATTTACAAAAGTTGCATGCAATAATTTTTTTTTTTTTTGTACCAGGGATTGAACTCAGGAGCACTTGGCCTCTGAACCCCATCCCCAGCCCTATTTTGTATTTTATTTAGAGACAAGGTCTCACTGAGTTGCTTAGTGCCTCGCCATTATTGAGGTTGGCTTTGAACTTGTGATCCTCCTGTTTTAGCTTTCGAGCTGCTGGGATTATAGGCATGCACCACTGCGCTCAGCATCTAATGTTCTTAATTTACAGAAACTAAATATTTAAGCTCAGTTTCCCATTTTATTTCCTTCATAATGCTGCAAAATTGTACATTATTTTTAAAAGATAAAAGGAAAAACAAAACAGTTGTAAAACATCCTATCCTCAATAGTTAAGAAAAGAACAAAAACCAAACAATACCAGGTATACAGAAAATAAAAACTCAGTGGTTGAAATGGCAATGTCTTCCTATAGTTCTTAAAAAAAAAAGATCTTTTAAAACAGCAGTAGTTGATGAACTTAAAGTAGTAGTACAAGTGGTCTATAAGCTAGTCATGAGACAGCCTTTTGAATTAATTTTATGGTTCCCTAAAGTTTTGATTCCTCTTTTGTAGCAATTTCTAAATCAGAATTAGAACTACATATGCTATATAGTAAAGGAGATGATTAAAAGCATGAGGAGAAAACCTATAGAATGGGAGAAAATCTTGGCCAGCTACTCCTCTGATAGGTGACTAATATCCAGAATATACAAAGAACTCAAAAAACACCAAAAACCCAAATAACCCAATCAATAAATGGGCAAAAAGAACTAAACAGAAACTCCTCAAAAGAAGAAAGACAAATGGCCAACAAATATATGAAAAAAATATTCAACATCTCTAGCAATCAGGGGAGACACAAATCAAAACTACACTAAGATCTCACCTCACTCCAATCAGAATGGCAATGATCAAGAATATGAACAACAGCTGGGCGCAGTGGCACACACCTGTAATCCTAGCAGCTCCAGAGGCTGAGGCAAGAGGATGGTGAGTTCAAAGCCAGCCTCAGCAATGGCGGGGCGCTAAGCAACTCAGTGAGACATTGTCTCTAAGTAAAGTACAAAATAGGGCTAGAGATGTGGCTCAGTGGTCAAGAGACCCCGAGTTCAATCCCCAGCACCCCTCCCACAAAAAAAAAAAAAAAGAGTGACCATAAATGCTCCCACTCCTTGGTATATACCCACAGGACTTCAAAACAGCATACTACAGGACACAGCCACATCAATGTTTATAGCAGCACAACTCACAATAGCTAAACTGTGGAACCAACCTAGATGCCCTTCAATAGATGAATGGATAAAAAAAAATGTGGCATATATACACAATGGAATATTACTCAGTAATAAAAGAGAATAAAATCATGGCATTTGCAGGTAAATGGATGGAGTTAGAAAATATAATGCTAAGTGAAGTTAGCCAATTCCCCCAAAAAACTTATGTCAAATGTTTTCTCTGATATAAGAATGCTGACTCATAATGGGGAGTTGGGGAGGGAGCATGGGTGGATTAGACCAACTCTATTTATTATTTTTGGTATTGGGGATTAAACCAGGGTCTTATGCATGCTAGGCAAGTGCTCTACAACTGAGCCATACTCTCAGCCCCTAGAATGACTTCAAAAAGTAATTTTTTTCATGGTTTTAATCTAGAAAAAATTGGAATTTTTTCAAACAATTTATTATAATAATAATAATGTTTTTTGCGGTGCTGGGGATTAAACCCAGGCCTTGTGCATGTGAGGCAAGCACTCTACCAACTGAGCTATATCCCCAGCCCTGACAATTTATTATTTTTGTGGTACTGGGGATTGAATTCAGGTGTGCGCTACCACCAAGCTATATCTCCCAGCCTATTTTTAGTGTTTTTTAAGAAAATCTGTTCTAATTAATCATACATGACAGTAGAATGCATTTTGACACTGACACAATGCACACAAATGTAGCACAACTAATTTTTTTAAAGGAATTTAAAAAAATAACTTTATTTATTTATTAATTTGTATGTGGTGCTGAGGATCAAACCCAGGGCCTCATATGTACTAGGCAAGCACTCTATCACTGAGGTATCACTCCAGCCCCTAGCACAACTTCTTCTTCCTCTGGTTGAACATGGTGCAAAGTTGTACCAGTTGTGTAATCATACATGTATATAGGGTAATAATGTCCATCTCATTCCACCATTCCCATGTCCCCTCCCTTCCCCTCACTCCCTTCATTCTCTTCCCCCCTGCCATTGTGGATCAGCATCCATTTTTCAGAGAAAACATTTGACCTTTGGTTTTTTGGATTTGGCTTATTTCTCTTAGCGTGACATCTCCAGCTCCATCCATTACCTGCAAATGCCACAAATTCATTCTTCTTTAAGGCAGAATAATATTTCAGCCTTATGTGAAATATCACCACATTTTCCTTATCCATTCATCTGTTAAAGGGCATCTAGGCTGGTTCCATAGTTTAGCTACTGTGCTATTTTTAGATGTTGAGGCAGGATCTCAGTAAATTGCTGAGGCTGGCCTTAAATCTRTAATCCTCCTGCCTCAGCCTCCTGAGTCACAGGGATTACAGTCAGGTACCACCAAGCCCAGATGATGCCTTAGCCTCCTGAGTAGGTGGGATTTTAGGATGTACCACAATACTTGGCAGGTTAAATTTTAAACTTACAAAAAAGGTAGAAAACATAACAAAACATATGTATTTCATTTTCCCAGGCTGCTTTGCTTAAGGAATGCACAGTAGAAATATCTATTTTAAACAATTGGTATCTTACTTTAGAAAAAAGAAGTGTTTAAAATTATTTTTAAAATTTGCCAAAGTCCATACCTGATTTTTTAAGGATGAAAGAATGTATTCCTTTTCATTATTGGAGATTGTCTTGTGAGTTTCTGGTGTATCACTAACTAGCCACATCCATAAAACAAACCAAAATATTCCAACTATACCTTAAAATAGAAAAATAATAAATTAAATAAAATTAGAATGGACCAACATCAATTTCTACATGTCTTAAAAATTATGTGACTGTAGGTTCAATGTAAAATTAGTTTCAATTCTTTAATAAAATAAATGTTATAATTATATTATTTCCTACACATTTTGAAGAAAATTTTTAAATACATGACTCTGCCTATAAGGGTATATCAGACAATCTTTTGGAAAATAAATTTCCATAATCTACATATTTCTGTAGGTGTCTGTTTTGTTTATTTGATTTTTTGTTTTGATGTACATATACCTTCTGCATGAAATGTCTAATCTATTTATAAAAAATTTGTGATATCCAGACAATGAATCTAAGAAATGAAACATACCTTGGGACTACACAAAATTTTAAAAAAGATTAAAATTACCATGTGAGAGCATCTTATTTTGCTTAAGAATAAATACTTTTAAAACACACATTTTTATAATAACCAAGAGAGTAACTTTTGAAAGTGTGACATTTAAGTCCAGGATTCAACAGCAGTTTCTATTAAGAAATATTTGAAAACTAACATCAGGTCATAACTCAGATCCTTTTAACCACATAAACAGGTTACTAGTGTTTTAGAACTTTGTGGATTAGGAGATGATTATTTTAGTGAGTCAGAATATATATTTTTAATAATTAGGCTACAATTACATTTAAAACAATTTTTTTTGGTACTGGGGACTGAACATAGAGACTCATGCATGCTAGGTAAGTGTTCTATCACTGAGATATTAATCCACCCCCTGACTTGTTTATTTTTATTTTAAACGTATTGACAACTTGCTGAAGATGGCCTTAAACTTGTGATCCTCCTGCATTAGCCTCCTGAGTAGGTAGGATTATAGGATGCACCACAATACTTGGCAGGTTAAATTTTAAACTTACCAAAGAGGTAGAAAACATAAGTCCAATTCATATAGTAGCAGATTATTCCACAAAGAGGAAGTGAAATTACTGTCCCAAGCTGTGCTCCTAAAAAACATGTAAGACTTCATAAACTTTGGAGAGAGAGAGGAACACAGAAAGGCAAGAGCTAATGCTTCAAGAGGATGGGGAATAGATAATAAAGAACAGAAAGAATGACTAAAATCTGAAGGAACTGAATTAGTCTCATGTAAATATAAATAATCTACTTTCTTAAGGGAGCAATTTCTACAAAATCTACAATATGTAAAACATATACATTAATATGTAGTTATATAAACTACAACTATGTAATTATTAATGAGTTAGGAGCCATCAACCAAGAGAAGATTCATTACAATATGACAAAGTAAATGCTACATTTTTTAGAAATCCAGGTGTCTGGGTGCCAGTTCAATGATGGTTTCTAAGGCTGAAAAAAATAGCATACTACAGCATACTTGCTGAAATAAGAATAACATTTACATTATAAACAATTATTTCAGATAAATGTTATAAAATATATTTTAACCATTAAATGTGAGACATCTTAGTAAATGCAATGAATCATATATTATTTGTAGTCTGAAACATCCCTCTTAGATAGAAGATAAATAAATGGTTGTTAAGTTTCACAGAGCAATGTGGAGTTCAAACATGGTAGATATTATTCCCAAGCTCCAGAGGTGCAAAGTTGTATGTAGCAGGCAATAAGACTTTGAAAAGGGATTTAAGATTTGGTCCCATAGAAACATAAGAAAGAAGATATGCGCTAAAGTTACAGGATCAGAAAAGGAGTAGAAGTAGGTGAGCAGAGAGTAGTTTTGGGAACATTACTTAGAAAAATAAGTTGAATGCTTACTGAGTACATAACTCCATACAGGTACTATGTACCAGGGCGTAGGCTGGCTGTAATGAAGTGATAGAAATTGTAAAAAAAATCTTYACCCCCTAGGTCTTCAGACTTTATTCAATAGGTAAAGGGGAAACATAGTATCTGTCATTGACTTTATCACCAGATTTCTCATGTCAATCTCCTTATAACTACAAGAATGATTTTTTAAAAAGTAAACTGGATCTTGTCTCTCACTTGATTAAAAACCTCTAATGTCTCCCCACTGTATATTAGGGGAAAATCTACATTCCTTCCTGAATCCTGCAAGGTCTGATATGATCTGGTTCTTGTCTATTTCTCTAACCTCATTTTCTGCCATTATGTTCTTTATTCATTTTGTTTTAGCCACCCACAGTGGTTTTTCACTTCTTTGAACTCATTATTTTCTGCCTGAGAGCCCTTGTACATGCTATTCTGATTGGCTGGAATGCTCTTCTCTCYGTTCTTTGCATGACTGGTTTCTTCTTATCCTGCAGATTTTTGCTTAAAAGTTATCACAGACAGGCCTTTCTACCACATATTTAAAATCAGTCAGGTGGAAAATTTTCCGTTCAGTCAATGGAAGAAAGGCTAGGAGTTCTTATGTAATCTAGTTGAATAAAAATTCACATATATAAAGCTCATGCTATCTCACCTGTAGCTCTAAATTGTGAAAGTAAGTGCATAGGAAAAAGATATGTGAAGAGAGTGGTTGACAGCCATGATATGTTCATTACACAGTCAAATTAGAAATCACAATTAAAGAACAAAAGTGCTCAATTTTCCAGCTCATGAGTTTTTCTTTTTAAAATACATAGCATTTTCTATACCAACATTTCAAAAGAAAATACACTTTGAAATAAATGGTGGCAGAAGGGAAAATATTAGGCAGTTAACATACACTGCAATATGCTGCTGAGCTAAAGATAAAAATTAATAATACAGTTATACCCCCAAAAGTTTTATTTTCCCCCAGAAGAGGTACCCAGTATTGCATGATTCTGGCACGCAGGCACTTTCTCCCCAAGATTGGTAAATACCTAATAATGAATCATAATAAACTTTTTATAAGAGTAGTTATCTTACCTGCATATGAAATACTAAGAAGCTTGCTTCTTTCTAGAGGGGGAGCCCAGGAAGACCACATGGCATGCATGGCTGGAAACGTAACACCCTGAGGAGTGGGGAAAGTATTTCTTATGAAATATAAGGTGGCTTTGTTAATGTTTTTAATTGAGTACTTTGTTACAAAAGAAATTTTCAGAATTAGATTTCATTAAGTGAGATGTTTTTACAGTATTAAGTGAACATATCTTATAATGAAGCATTTTCAAAATATAGACAATGATTTATGGATTTGGGGACTTCAAGCCAAGGGTTATGATAAATCTGTACTACTAAGTGGTGACATAAAGGAATCTTCTCAAGGTTTATTTTACTCATTTACTTTATTGACTTGGATGACACAGGAATATTACTAATTTATTAATTTTAATAAATATTACTAATTTATTACTTTTTAAAAAAACACTGATTTAATACTTTGGGATACTAGAGGATATTGAAATTGACCTAAATCAAAAAGAAAAATGGTCTTATTAGAAAAAGGATAAATTCAATGAGAGTGTTTATAGTCTTTTATTCCCCAGTGATAATGTATCAGTATATGCCAATTACTGATAATAGAGAGGTAATGGGACATGGAGGCAGGGAGGCAACAAATTTCTCCCGTGGATGAAAAGACACCACAGGAGCATATGAAATGATAGGTTTGGGCACACACAAATCAACAGATTTGAGGGCTTGGAGTACAGCTCAGTGGTAGAGCAAACCCAGTGCTTATTCTCTAGGAGAGAAAACAAAAACAAAACAAAACAGAAAACCTAAAACAAACTCTGCCTCCTCAAAAATCATATCAATGAATTTTTAGTTCTTGGCCACTCACGAGCTGTGTAACCTTAGAAAGACTAATTAACCTTCTTGAACTTCCATTCTTCAACTTTAAAACAGTGGTAACATGCCCTATCTTGCATAATTGTAAATATTAATGGTAGCTCATATTATTAACATAGTTTTTGCTTTCTGCTGAGTTCTTCAAAAACAAAAAAGGAGGAACTACCAAGAAAAGACTAAGATCATTTAGGCTACATGGCAAATCAACAGGAATCTATATGCATGGGACAAATCACTATAGAATAAAACTTGAGATGTCTAGAAATGCCCACAGAGATTATGTTGTGGAAAACTTTAATATAAATTTTTTTAGTGATAATGAAGTATATTTATGGTAAATCAAATAGTAAGGATGAAAGATACTAACCTAAGTTTATGGATGAGGCACGGAAGAACAGAGAAAGATTAGAGAATCTAAGTATACACAACTTAAATTCTATTTAGAAATAAAATGGTCACCTAGATAGCAGTAATAATATATGCAACATGCTATGATATTAAATTAGAGGCATAAATAGGAAGCTAAAATATGAGAATACATTGAACAAGGAGATTTAGTACTTGGATCAGAGAAAATATACAAATAAATATATTTTATCTTGATAAACAGAAGAAAAATCTCATAATAGAGGGGCAATTTTAATTCTATAATTATAAAGGTTTTATTTAATATATCTCTATTGATAAGGACAAAATAAGAACATTCAAATGAGTCATAAATGTTAAATTAATTTGGGGGGGGTACTGGGGATTGGACTCAGGGGCACTCAACCATTAAACCACATCCCTGCCCCTGCCCCCTCCTTTTGTATTTTATTTGAGATCTCACTGATTTGCTTAACACCTCGCTTTTGCTGAGGCTGGCTCTGAACTCACAATCCCTCCCAAGCTGTTGGGATTACAGGCGTGTACCACTGGGCCTGGTTGATAAAATGTTAAATTTAAATAATACTTGACAAATTTTCTAAGTACTCTAGCATATATAAGCTTTATATCTATCCTGTGATTGACAATGGGCAGGTATTTTAGTGTCAATTTGGTCTAGTGGTTAGGACTTAACTCAAGGTTTTAGTCTTAGAAATTGTTAGTAGATTTTTAAAAACTTTTTTTCTTTTTTTTTTCAGTTTTGGGGATCAAATCCAGGGGTCCCCTACCACTGAGATATAATCCCAGCTCTAAAACATTTTTTATTTTAAGATAAGGTCTCAATATGTTCCTAAAGCAGACCTCAAACTTGAGATCCTTCTGCCTTAGACTCCCAAATTACTGGGATTAGAGGAGTAATCCACTATGCCTGACCAAACTCTGATTTTCTGACTTGATAGTCAAGTGTTCTTTCCAACATAGTATGACAAAATATTACTTGACATGACATTCATGGTATAAGCCAGATCCAGAGGGCCACTATTTTGCCTGAATTGAAAAAATGCAAGACAGAAAAGTAAATCTATGCCTGAGTTACAAAGGTGAAAGTTCAAAGTTACAAAGAAGAGATAATAAAAGATAGTAGTATAGGGACGGGGTTGTGGCTCAGTAGTAGAGCGCTTGCCTAGCATGCGAGAGGCACTGGGTTTGATCCCCCGCACCACATAAAAATAAACAAATAAAATAAAGGTATTGTGTCCATCTACAACTGAAAAGATTAAAAAAAAGACAGTAGTATACAAAAGAGAAATAGAGAGGAAGATAGGAAGTAATTTTAAAAATGGGGTTGGGATATAGCTCAGTGGTAGAGTACATGCTCAGCATGCTCAAGGCCCTGGGTTTGATCTCTAGCACTAAAACAAAAACAAACAAAAATTTAAATAAATAATAAACATCTTGAGAGGGAAAAAAGAGATAAAAAATTGATGATAACAATGCTTATAGCATGAAAGTCCAGAAGAATCATAGAACTAAATTGGGATAGTGACATATAATTAAATTATTTATCACTAAGCTAGAAGACCAGAAAAAAAGAAAAAAAAGACAAAGAGGAAGTTTCATGAATAACAACAAATTGAAAAATAAAGTAAAGCATTTCAACAGTCTATCTTGTAAAAATTGGCAAAAGTACAAGAGGAAATAGATGAGGGAAAGGAAGTCTAGTAGAGTAGAGGAAGGAAAACAAGGCTGGATAGGAGGAGAAAAGGAGAGGGATAAGGGGGTCCTGAATTGAATACCATGCATGTATGAGTTTGCTGGGATAAACCCAAATACTATGTGTAACTATAAAGCTCTAAAAAAATGTAGCAGAGATAAAGATGACCTATCATAACCATTTTTTTTTTTTTGGTACCAGGAATTGAACTCAGAGGCACTCAACCACTAAGCCACATCGCCAGCCCTATTTTGTATTTTATTTAGAAACAGGGTCTCACTGAGTTGCTTAGTGCCTCGATTTTGCTGAGGCTGGCTTTGAACCTGCAATCCTCTTGCCTTAGCCTCCTGAGCCACTGGGATAACAGGCATGCACCACTGCGCCCAGTCATAACAATTTTAACAGTAGTTATTTTTCTTATCTCTTAAAGATTGAGCTATAAAGTCTCCCTTGGAAAATGTTTTCTCCAGTCTTTCAGTAAAGCCATAACTTTGGACTGCTCCTACTCAGTGACTTCATAACTACACAGGTTCTTTAATAATTAATTTTTTTTCTAATTTGTTATTGTCCAGTGTTACTTCTTGGTTCATATTCACACCAAAGAATGGGATCCTTCAAAGGAGGCAAAAGAGATTTAGGCTAAGAAGTAAAACAAGAGACAAAATAAGGAATAAAGAAAAATTTAAAAAAAATTAAATCACCTCTCCTAGTCCTTCCAGTGCTCTGAGTACAATGAGAGCTGCAACTCCTAAATCTGCAGCGATGGGAGTGAACAGGGTAAAGACAGAGGTGCCAAGGATCCCAAATCCTAGCAGCAGTTTTCCCCCTATTTTGCTGGCAACATATCCTCCAGGAATCTGTGTGATAATGTAACCATAAAAAAAAGAACCAAGAATCCATCCTTGAGTTTCTGCATCCCACTGGTACCTTTTGCCCTGTAAAAAGTAGAAGGGGAAAAAAATCAATCCTTTAAGACTTGATTAAATTGCACTTTTCTCTTATTGAATATAAGTCCATACAAATAAAATTGTGAATCACTCCCCTGGATTGCAGAACATGCAAATGTTTTAGCAGGTGGGTGAGTGACCACAATATAAACATGCAGTTTCTAGAAAACTGGAAAATAATTAAAGTGAGAACAAAAGAAGTAAAAGCCATAAACTTAAAGAAGGCTTGCTATTTTATGAAAGAAGACAAGAGGATGAGCTCTAGAGGTTTTCTAATATTCCTGACCAAAAAGTCCTCCAAAAGAGCCATTGGCTTAATCTAGAAAACTATTAAACAGAATACTGAAGTGATTGAGTCAAGTTTTGGAGCCAGGCCTGGGTTAAAACCTAGCTCTATCACTTACTGGGTATGTGATCTAGGAATATTAAATTTAATATTAATTAAATATTCACTTAATGTTGGTTATTAGGATGCACAAATATAGATAATAATATCTCTCCATTTCAGACCAAGCACTCGAACAAGCTCATGGAACACTAAAAGAGAACAAGAATTTAAACTAAGCCATAAACTTAATATGAGTAGGATCTGTCTTAATTAGGAGCAACACATAGTAAGACACTAATGAAGATTTAGTGATGATCTGAATAGCTGAACTTTTTTTTTTTTTGGTGGTGCTGGGGATCGAACCCAGGGCCTTGTGCATGTGAGGCAAGCAGTCTACCAACTGAGCCATGTCCCCAGCCTAATAGCTAACATTTTTAATACATGAAGCCATATAACCAAGTCATTGTGTTAAGAACCATTCCAGGATTTTTTTTTTTTTACTACCTATATAAGGCAGATAGGTCAACAAATGCACTTACCAAAGGGAAAGATACAAAACAAATCTCTATATAATTTGTAGTTTATTTGTGAAACCCTAGATTTTGTGAACTGCCCAACAGTTCATAGAGGTCATTGAGGTTGGAATGGAGTCATAGGGTATTGTGTACCCAAATACATATTCAGTAGTATTATTAACATTAAATAAAGCAAAGTAAAATAATTAAAGTGTGTAAAACTCAATCTAAACAAATTAAGAATATATTTAACAATTATTATAACACAAAGCAGGAAAAATGACTTAAGTAGCTTAGGTTAGGCATGTATAAATTTTCACAAAGAAACTGATCTAAGAAATTGACCAATTTATTTTTCTCAACTTGCAGCTGAAATTATCTATGGTCTCATGCAACTGTTATAAGTGAAACAGCTATTAAATAATGGTTCGGTCACAACTATTTAGTAATATTTAAAACAAGCTTATTTTCCGGTAGATCAAACAAGTTTCTGCAAATTCTCTTCAAGGAAGGCATGTTTATAGAGAAAACTGAAGAGCTACTTTTCATACAGATCAAGGTATATGATAGCGCAATAGCAGTAGCTAGAGTTCTAAGTTACTGTTCAACCAGTTCCTGGGAAAACACAAAAAGGAAGCAATTCAGAGTACATATAAAATCAACTGTTTTGGCTTCTTTCAGATGAAGAAATACTTTTCAGTATTTTTACTTGGAAGTATTTTAGGATTATTTGCTTAGAAAATAGTACCTACCGTTTGATTTCGAAGAACTTTTATGGGAGCAGAATGATCTGCACACTCCTTGGAAGTTCTGTTTTCTGCTAAAGTTGTATTTGAATCTACCATATCCACTAATGCAACACTCAGATTCACACGTAATGCATAGAGAACGAAGAAACCAAAGAAGGCCAACATTGCTAAGTTGTAACGAGCAGAGCAGCATGCTGGAGCTGAAATAAAGATCCAGAGAAAACTAATTAAAAGGGTAAATTAGATACTGTTGCCTAAATCATGAAAACGGTTATGTTTTAGAAGTCCCCAAAGATTAATAATCATCAATATTTTCTAAAAATAACCTCAGTTCAAACATATCGAAGAAGATCTATCAGAGGGAATTTGTTCCCCTTATTTGAAAGAAATTTAACATGTGAGAGTCTGACCTGTAAGAGCTCATTGAAATACGGAGGTGACAGCTTTATCAATTTTGCCTAGAAAAATCTGTTCTATAGTTAAACTGAACCCCTAATYCCAGTCAGCTGGCAAAGACTGGCATGAGAAAAATAGGTAAAGTTATTTAATGGCATCATAATTCCTAAAAAACTATCTCAAACAGGGTCAATAAGTACTTGAATACTTTGATATCACATAAAAGCTACTGGGTTAGTAGCCATCTCACTTAAATGCAGCCCAGAAATAAAATTATTGTATAGGCACAGAACCCCTCTTGATCAATTTCTTACCTGGGAGAATATCCTCAGAAGCTAGGTTTAAATCAGAAGCCATGATTAATATACTTAAGGCTCTCCTAAACTAAAGGTACTTAAGAATCCAGAAACAAACTTGCAGAATCTTTTACAGTTGTAGCATCTATGACTCAATAGGTATTATGCTTAAAGGGCCCAAAGTAGAAAGGGAAGTAAGTGAATATACCAGACAGCAGAGTAAGTTGAAGGAAACAATGAAAGAAGGATCATGTGAGAGGAGAAGTTTGACCTAATCTTTACTCTAATTGTAGAGTTCCTTTTTCTTCATTTACTGAGTTGCAGAATTGGAGAGAAAATACAGGAAACTAATAAGGATGTTCTACCTCTTAGTGACAAGGAGAAACTGGCTAATTCATGGTCTTACATCTTGGGCTGGGAATGTAGCTCAGTGGTATAACATGTGTCTAGCATGCATAAGATTCTGGGTTTGATCTCCAGCAACAAAGATATAAACACTGATTTCATTAGGCTATACAAATTAAGTTATATATGTATATATGAAAATGTGTTCTTTTATTTGGTAATGATGCATTAACATCTCTCTCTCTCTCTCTCTCTCTCTCTCTCTCTCTCTGTGTGTATGTATGTTTTCCCCTTACTCAGGAATCCTCTTGTTTTCATTGACCTGACCTCATACAAAAATATATTGTATAAAGGTCTTGGTATTGATTCAGAATGATTGTTTCAGACTGAAACATTAATGAATATGGCACAATTATATAACTAGATAGGTACTGGGAATTGAATGTAGGGTCTCATGCTTGCTAGACAAGCACTCTATAACTAAACTACATTCCCATCCCTACGTGGATGGGTATATATTAATACATTATGATTCCACTCACTTTTCTATAAGCCTTCATACACTTAACTATGATCAATTTTTTTTTGTTCAAGTTAACAGAAAACTTGTCATTTGATACCCTTAAATCCTTTTTTTAGGGGTATAGCTATTAAAATTATAGTGCTACTACCATAGTTAGATCTAGATCTGTGAGAGCTACGTTTCTAAGGCTCAATTTATGCTGTCACTGTTACATGAATTTATACAAATTTGCTCTCTGTTCCAATCAAGTGGTACCTTTCCAGTAAGGACACCATTTGGATGCTGTCAGTTATGTTCTATAACAGAATACTTTATCATCACTTTGTTGGGCAATATTACATGGAAGTCTGGATGGAAGAATTGTGATCTTATCAAATATAGGCAACAAAAACACATTACTTTAAATAATTTTGAGCAAGAAAAATCTGGATTCATGTGCTATGTCTGTTTCATCATGGTCTCTATTTTAAAAGTTCATTACATCAGCAGAATGACAGGATGTGAGTTTTGGTTTAAGAGCTTATCTGGCTGCTGTGTGAAGATTGCTAAGGGAAGAAGTGTGAATAGGTGTGGGGGATGTAGACTCAGGGACTGTTATTGCAGCTTTCCAGGTTGAGATGAGGACAGCTTAACCTGTGATGAAAGCTGAGGCAATGGAGAGAAACGGGCAGATCTGAGGTGTGGTTAAAGTCTTGCCAAAATGCTTTATGTGGGAGAAAGTAAAAGGGAAGAATGAATTTATCAGTAATTCTTACTCTAAACAACTTTATTTTATGCTACTCTTGCTTGTAATGTCATTATTGTGTTCTATCCTTATTTGCTGTTACCTTATTTTATTGTTTGTCATTAGTTTTTCCTCAAGTGATGTTTGTTTTGGACTATGATTTTCCTTATCATGTGAGGAAGTTGTAGGGGTAGAAGCTTGGGAAGTGAAAGAAAGGTGAGTAAAGTGATTTTATTTTATTTTATTTTATTTTTTAAATTTTAATATTTATTTTTTAGTTATTGGCGGACACAACATCTTTGTTTGTATGTGGTGCCGAGGATCGAACCCAGGCCGCACGCATGCCAGGCGCGCGCGCTACCGCTTGAGCCATATCCCCAGCCCAAGTAAAGTGATTTTAAATAACTAGTGGCATTACTGTTTTAGTTATCCTTTGGTCACTGTGACCAAAACCTGATAAGAATAATTTAAAGGAGGAAAAGTTTATTTTGGCTCACAGTTTCAGAGGTTCAGTCCACAGTTGGCTGACTTCACAGCTCTAGGCCTGAGGTAAGACAGAACATCATGATGAGAGTAAGTGAAGGGAAAGAAGCTCTTAACATGGCAACCACGAAGCAAAGAGATTGAGCCCTGATTACCAGGGATAAAATATAAACTCCAAAGGCATACCTTCTGTGACCTACTTCCTTCAGCTACACCCTATCAGTTTACTGTTACTACTCAGTTAATCCATATCTGTTGGGTTAATCCAACAATTAGATCACACCTTTCATAATCTGATCATTTTACCTCTGAACCTTCTTGCATTGTCTCATGAAAGAGCTTTTAGGGGACACCTCATATCTAAATCATAATACTGACTCAAAATCTGATCTAAAAGTTATGGGTCAGGCAACTTTATATTTTGGGGGTAGTCAGAAAATAGAGCCTACAAAGATGCCACAAAATATATAACTATGAAATTTTTAGGAATATTAAAACTACATGGTTGTTTTATAAAAATTGTTGTAATTATAAATCTATTCAGTCAAAACAAAAAGAAAATATAGTGGTAGGGCAAAACATGCCAATGAATTTAGATAACCTCTGAAGTTGATCCAACAGAAGAAAGGCTGCATGAAAGAGGACATCCACGGAGCAACGACCACACTGAAATCAAGTTCAAAGCAAAATAATGCTTGCATAACGAACAAAGAAACCATCAAAATAAACATGAGCTTCTAAAATGTGCTTTAAACTTAGGAATGTAGAGTGGGTGTAAGGGAAAGAACATAGGCTAATTTAGAATGAAGCAGACCTGGGAATGAATTTCAGTTCTGACTTTCACTGGCTGAGTGGTTTGGTAGAAGTTATTAATAGTTTTAATTCTCAGGTTTCTCAGCTCTAAAATGAGGAGACCAACATTCACCTCACTGGAGTACATGAGGATTATATGAAAAACCACAGGACATTATAGTATATCCTCAGTAAAAGTGAGTTCTTTCTTTTTTGCCTCAGAGAAAGTTATACAAATAAAATAAAGTGCTATGCACATAAGTGTAACAAGGGAAAAGGAAGCCCATCAGTCTGCCTGGGGTCAGGGTTGGTCAGGGAAGGTCATTCAAAGAAACAATATTTGACTGAGTCTTCCTTAATGAACCAGAAGAGAGAGAGCAACCCAAAGGCAGCAACATTCTCAGAAGTATGGAAATGAGAAAGGCAAGCACAGGGAGAATAGGAAATTCTAAATGATCTGAGGCTACTGGACAAGGGACTGTAGCAACTCTAAGAACTAACATCAGTTATGCCAATGCACGTCTGTAACCAGTTACGGTGATGCACGTCTGTAATTCCAGCAAATTGGGAGGCTGAGGAAGAATTGCAATTTTGAGGCTAGCCTCAGGAACTTAGCAAGGCCCCTAAACTAGTAAGGCCCTGTCTCAAAAGGGCTGGAGATACAGCTTCATGGTAAAGCACCCTAGGTTCAATTCCCAGGAGAGAGAGAGAGAGAGAGAGAGAGAGAGAGAGAGAGAGAGAGAGAGAGAGAGAGAGAGAGAACACTAATACTATTGAGAGGGATGATAGCAGGTATTGAGTTTAATAATATAATAACTAATATTTATCGTGCACTTACTATGTGCTTGGTATAAGACTTTCATATGTATTAGGGTTAATATAACAATTGGCTGAATTAGTATGTGTAAAACACTTAGGTTACTGCTTAGTACATAGTATCCCTCTGGTAAATGAATTGTTGATAATATTGTTTTTCTAGATATTAGAAATTGAAGTCATATGTTAAGAATCATTTGTGAGAAATTAGGATTTGTGGGGTAAGAGGTGAACAGACAGGACTGCCCAACAGATGGACTCTTATACAGAACTGGTAAAAGCAATCTGCCCTAGTATGTAACTTTAAGCATTGCATGTCTGTCCTCAGGAGTAGATGCTAAGAGAGCAGATAGTTGGCACTTGGATGTGATGACAAAGCAGAGGACAAGAGAATTTAGAGTACTGGCAAGAAAATAAAATGTCGGAACATGATTCTAACTCCAAAAGAAGGTAAAATGGAGAAGGCTAATAGTTTAGGAGTATAACATTTCTGTGAGGGCAGGAACTTTTGCTCTGTTTTGTTAATCTCCAGTGCCTAGACCATCATCTGCTAGAACTGGCATACAGATTTTTTTTGTGGCTGAAAAGTCGAGTGGAGTCTCCTGATAGTAGTACACAATTCTACCTATGAAGACCTTTTGACAGTAGATAAGGCAGACAGAAATCATAATCTGATCAAATCTCTATATCCACTAATTATCAATTTATAGTAAACATGGGAGTGCAGAAGAATATGTTAAATGATCACACAGGGATATAAACTGCAAGAAAGAAATGGRGCAAGGAACACATAAGGATGAAAAAGACATAAGAAACATTTCAATCATTTGGAAGGGATGGGCATTATTGGGATCTTGACTTGAATAAACTACAAAATTATGACAAATATGAGGAAATATGAGCACTAAGTAGGAATTATTTTTATTGTGATAATGATACTGAAATTATGTTAAAAAGTATCATCTTTTAGGGATATATATGGAAATGTTTACTCTTAAAATGACATGATATCTGGGATTTGCTTCAAAAAAATCATGTATGAAGTTAAAAAATAAGTGAAACTACATTGGCCATGAAGTATTGGTTATGTGGGGGTTCGTTATACACTTTTCTTTTTATTGTATATGGGCATATGTGTGAACTTAAAAATTTTTTTTTGTTATAGATGGACACAATACCTTTATTTATTTATTTTTTATATGGTATTGAGGATCGAACTCAGTGTCTCACACATGCTAAGCAAGTGCTTTACCACTCGCTACAACCTCAGCCCCTATATGGGTGAACTTTTCCATTAAAAAAAAATGAATGTCACTGGGGAGGCTGAGGGAGGAGGATCACAACTTCAAGGCTAGCCTTAGTAACTTAGTGTGACCCTGTCTCAAAAAGAAAAGAACAAGAAAAAAAAAAAAAAAGAAGGTCCAGAGGAAATTAGACAGTAGTCAAAGTAGGGTGATTACACCAGCAAGTAGGAAGGATGTCTAGCTGTGGTCAAAGCAGTTGTGGGAGATGACATGGTATAATGATGACCAGAGGCGGGAAAAAGTCATAAGACATGTAGGAGCACAGAGAACTGAGGGAAAGGAGTTGGATAGGAAGTCACTAAGGATAATGGCAGAAGCTATAGAGTGTGGAGATGGATGCGAGTCAGGTGGCAAAGCCTGTGGTGAATGAAGCAAAATGTGGCAGGAGGGTAGATGATAGCAACGATGTAATGGAAAGGTGGTTTAGCCCCAAAACATTGGGTTGGGGGTAATTGTCTGGAAGCATCATTGTGCAACAAGGAGTCCTCAGCTCTATCAATTAGTATGAACATGAAAAAAAAATCACCTCTTGAAAGATCAGTGGGGAACAGATGGTAGATCCCCTAGAAAGCCAGGCTGCTACTTCTGTTTTGAGATGGGGTTATCACTAGGACTTCGTTTTCTTTCCTTGTGGTGCTAGGGATTGAACCCAGGGCCTCCCACATGCTAGGTGAGCACTCTACCACTGAGCCACAGTCTGGCCCTGAGACGGGGTTCTCAATGTTGTCCAGGTTCATCTCAGTCTCCAGAGTAGCTGGGACTCTAAGTGTGTGCCAATGTGCTAGCTAAAGCCAGGGTTCTGATGAATAAAGAGGTACCATTGGTAAGGGAGGCTTGTAAAAAATTTAAGGATGTCTTAGTATTTATTCTTTGGAGAAAGATTTCACAGTGGAGAGGGTTTGCCAGGAGCAAAAAAACCGCAGGGTCCTTTGGCATCCATCCATAGGGGATTGGCTCCAGAATCCCAAAGGGTACCAAACTCTGCAGATGCTCAAGTCATTTATAAAAGATGGTGATCTTGCAGATAACTACACAATCCTCCTGTAGAATTTAAAATTATTTCTAGATTGCACAAAATGCATATAGTTGTTATATGGTATTGCATAGGGAATGATGACAGGTAAAAAAGTCTGTACATGTTCAGTACAGATGCAACCATCGTAGGCCTAACTATATAGGGCACCTCTATAAAACCTTTATCAGATATATATTATTTTAAATCACATATATATATGTGTGTGTGTGTGTGTGTGTGTGTGTGTGTGTGTATCCCCCCCCCCCACCGTACTTGGAATTGAACCTAGGGACATTTTACCCCAAACTACCTCTCCAGCATTTTTATTTTTATTTTGAAACAGTGTCTCACTAAGTTTTCAAGGCTGGCCTCAAACTTGGAATCCTCCTCCTTCAGCCTCCCAAGTAGCTTGGATTACAGGTATTCCCAACCACTCCTGGCCCTTATCATATTTTAAATAGCAAAAATAATGTTTTGCTATTATTTTTTCCTTGTTCTTTTTAGATATATGTGAAGATAGAGTGTATTTTGACATATTATACATACATGGATTATAACTTATTCTAATTAGGATCCCATTCTTGTGATTGTACATGACATGGAGTTCCACTGGTGGTGTATTCATATATGAACATAAGGAAGTTATATCTAATTCATTCTGTTTTTCCTATTCCCATCCCTTTGTTCCTCTTTGTCTAATTCACTGAATTTCTATTCTTCCCTGCCCCCACCCCTGTTGTGTGTTAGCATCGGCATATCTAGAATATTTGGTGTTTGGATTTTGGGGATTGGCTTATTCACTTAGCATGATAGTCTCCATATCCATCCATTTGCTGGCAAACGTCATAAAGTGATTCTTTTTTATGACTAAGTAATACTTTGTGTGTGTTGCTACTAATTCTACTTCACTTGTTTTCCAGAGGGTAAGTAAAAAAAAAAGCAGAAATAAAAACGGAAATGGTGTAATGAAGGGAGTAACCTGAAGTCAGGAAGAACAGAGCATATATACATTAAGAACTATATATTCAACCTATGAGTCAAGTGAGGGATGTTCTGAAAAGTGACAACAGGAACTAATCTTTTTCCGATCAGTTTTATCAAAGTCTAATTTATGTGACAAATGTATACATCTGTCCAACTCAATTAAGATCAAGATGTAGAACTTTATTACCTTAAAAAGTACCTTAATGCCTCTTTGAATTCAATTTTCTCCTGCCTGAATCTCTAGCCAATCACTAATCTGCTTTATATATTACCTTTGCTAGTCCTAGAACTTCATATTGATGGGATCATATATTAATATGGTGTTTATTTTGCTCAGCATGTTTTTGAGATTTACCCGTGTGTTATGTACACAAATATTTTGTCCCTTTTCGTACATAGTTTGTATATTCATCCACTAAATTGATCTATCTCCAGGTTTGACTATTTTATGAATAAAAATATACATATACCACAGGTATATACATTATGTGGTCATGTGGTAATATAAAAATTTAAGATTTCCCAAAGTAGTTGTACTATTTTACACAGTTACTAGGAATGTGCAAGAGTTCTAGTTATTCCATATCTCTGCCAATATCTGGTATTCCTATCTCTCCATTTATCTACCTAGGGATTGAATTTAGGGGTACTCTACCACTGAGCTATATTCCCAATACTGCTTATTTTTTTGAGGGGGGGTACTGGAGATTGAAATCAGGGGCACTCAACCACTGAGCCACATCCCCAACCCTATTTTGTATTTTATTTAGAGATAGGGTTTCACTGAGTTGCTTAGTGCCTTGCTTTTGCTGAGGCTGGCTTTGAACTCTCAGTCCTCCTGTCTATCCATCCTCCTGTCTCAGTCTCCCAAGCTGCTAGGATTACAGGCCTGTGCCACTGCACCTAGCTAGTACTGCTTATTTTTTGAAACAGGTTCTCACTAAATAACCCAGGCTGGCCTCATACCTGCAATCATCCTGTCTCAGCCTCCTGACTGCTGGGACTACAGGCTTGCAACACTGCCAGGCTCTCAGCCTTTGAATTTTATCTATTTTAGTAAGCACTGAGGTTTGAATCTTCATTTTCCTGAATATTAAAGATGGCTGACATTTGAGCTAAATTTTCATATATGTATATATTTATGTACATACACACATATATTCCAATTACAGCAGAATACAGTAGTGTATTATATAGCCATTTGTTTCTGCATTTCTATGAGATTATTTTACAGAGGAAGATTATATAATTATAATGCTATAAGCCAAGGGAAAAGATCAGCTTATGGAATTAAATACAACTTTCAGGTAAAATACTACTTTGGTACAGTTATTTACACCTAGCATTGACTAAAATAAGCTCCAAGATGCAGGACGGAGCTACAATGTTGCCACCTCTACTGCCACCATCTGGTAATGTTAAAAACAAAAAGAACATACTATGCTTGGTCAACAAAAGTCAGATTTCCAATTCTACTCTAATACTTTGAATCTTTGAAACTACAGAACGCATGCAAACTTATTTGCTTTTTAGTTTTCATTGCTTCTTAAGAAGCTGCATTATAAAAGTGGAAAATAGCAAAGTATTGCTATTTTCCTAAATTCAGAGACCATGCTTTTTGAAATACCTCCTTTTCGATTTGTTGCAAGGTCTCTGGCAAATTATCTTACAGCTCTGTAGATAGCTTACCTTGAGGACAACCAAACTGTTTCCTAACTTAAATTGTAGACTGCTAGAGGGGAAAAAAATGAAATGTGTGCAATATTTTTAGTTTCTTACAGCACAATATCAAGATATTTGCTGGATTACGCAACACTTGCTCTCTGCATACTCAAAAATATTATATCTCCTATCCTTTTGTCTCCTCTCCCTGCCCGAGGAGCTATAGGCTCACTTGCAAGCTGATACGCAGCTGTGGAAACCAGGAGGTCACAAGGCAGGAGACGAATCAGCCTGGCCATTTGCTCACCGATTTGCAAGTTTCTCCCCCAGTTCGCCCTTTCTTCTTTTTGTGCCGGGGATGAAACCCCAGGGCCCTCAGTTCACCCTCCGCCTGGCCCTTGCCCATTGATTTGAAGGCGCTCCCCAAGTTGGGTTTTTTCACCAGGTTCCGGGCTCTGCACTACTGAAAACAGTCAGCAGCTCAAGCACCTGCCGCGCAGAGCCGCTCCCAGCTCCCGCCCCGCCTAGAGGCACTAGCGGAGGCCAAGCTGGAGCTTGGCAGAGCCGTTCCCGCCTGCCCGTCAGACCCTAGGGCGTCGGAGGGGCTTCCGGGCACCGGGACAGGCGGGGCTAAGAGGGGCCTGAATGGGCTTTCTCTCTTCGTGTCCCCTCGGCGCCTGTCAACTCTGGACCAGACGGCGGGGGTGCCAGTACCCTTGGCCACTTCTGCCCAGTACCACCGCCCGCCCCGGGAATGTTGCGGGCCTAGAGCCCCTAGACGACCCGGCTGCTCACCGGCTTCGGCCTGCCGGGCGCCCTGAAGGAGCGGGGTGCTGTCGGTGCTGTCCTCGCCATCGTTCACCACCGGACCTCGAACCGAGGACCTCATGATGCCTACAGGGAGCTGGCTGCTCTGAGGAGAGGAGCTCTCCAGCCCGACAGCCGAAGCCCCCGGCCGCGGTGGCTGGGCGGGCCGGGGCGGTGGCGTGGACTCTGGTACCTCCCCCATCCTGGCACCACCTCCTGGCCACGTAGTGTCACCGCTGCCCCGCCCAGAGGCAGCCGCGCCGGTTCCTCCCAGTCGCCATCTTAGGTTTGGGCAACCCTGGCGTAGGTTGGGCGGGGAAGGCTGAGTTCGGGGACTTCCGCCCGGCGGGGGGAGGTCGGTGTAGAGCTGCCCAGCTCCSACGGCTTTGCGCGTGCCAGGTGGCCGGTGCTGTGGAGAACGTGTCCTTCCAGGAGACCTCCCGTAAAGCTCCCGTGCGGCCCTTCCAGAGCAGGATAAGTGGAAGTCTGGAGTCGCCTGCGGGGACTTTAAGCGTGTCTAATTAAGGGGAGGACTTAAGTCGAGGTGGTGTGTACAGTTGCCATGACTGTTGGCAACCTTTGTACTGCCTACCCCGTGACAGCATACGATCCCTAAATTGCTTTTGAGGTGACGAAACAGCAAATGGAAATATATTAACGTTCAATAGGGTTGCCAGTTTTTTTTTTTTGGGGGGGGGCTCGGGTGGATTACCAGGGGTTGAACCCAGGGGCTTTTAACCAATGAGGCACATCCCCACATCCCCACATCCCCAGCCCCTTTTTAATGCTTTGTTTTGAGAGTCAATTAAATCGCTGAGGCTGGCTTTGAACTTTTGAGCCTTCTGCTTCACCCTCCCAGGACAGGGCCGCCAGGGATTACCTGCGTGTGCCAAGAGACTGCCGATTTTATAGAAAAAATAACCCAATATAAACAATTTCATATGGTTCAAGGTATCAGCTCTTCTGAYGCATCTCTCTGCGTGTGTTTTTTCTTCGCACTTCTAATTCAGAAAGATTGTTGTAGTTACTGACTCAACAGTAAGAGGAAACTAGGAAAGAGGAAACTAGGAAAATGCTTGCCTAGGCTGGACAGACCTGGAGCCGCTGTTCTAGCCATAGGCTTCAGTTCAACAATTTTCCTGGGTAATAGAGGCTATCTTTGTGGAGATAGACGGGAAAATAAGATGTGTCAATGCCCTCGAAGTGTTCAGGGCAAATCTGGAAGACTCACAAACCAATAATTCAGTAAACCAGGTAAAAGGATTGGTGAGGTCTACATGGGAACAAAGACGACACTCCTTTATCCAGAGAAGAGGGTGCGGATTTTTGAAGGCATCCCTAATTTCCAGATTAGTAAATTCTAGGCCAGTTTTCAAGTTAGGATAACAAATTAGACCTTATTTCTGAGTGACAGAAATAATCATGTAGATTTCAAACTGGGTTGTTGAGATGACACTCTTATTTGAGTATGCATATAATCACTTGGTGGATCCTTGTAATATAGCTTCAGATTCAGCAGGTCTGGTGTGGTGTTTATTTTATGTGTCAAATTGGGGGGTGTTTTTGGATGAAGTTAACATTTAAATTGGTGAAACTGGTTGCCCTCCATAATGTGGGTGGGCCTCATTCAATCAGTTGAAGGCTAACTAGAACAGTGTTCCTCTCCCTCTCCCTACCTGGGAATCCTCCAGAAGACTATTTCATATTTCTTTCTTTCTTTTTTTATGGTATTGGGGATTGAACCCAGGGGTCTCTAGCTACATCCTCAGTTCTTATTTTTTTAAATTTTGAGTTAGGGTCTCATTAAGTTGCTGAGGCTGGCCTTCAAGATGTGATCCTCCTGCCTCAAGTTCTGGACTAGCTGGGGCTACAGGCCTGCTCTACAAGGTTTGGCACTCTCTTCAGATTTCATCTGCACCATCAGTCTCCTTGAACCTCCAGGCTTCTGTACAATTTCTCTCTGGGTATAGATCCTCCAGGCCTATACTGGGTGAGCCTCTACTTTATATATATCTTCTCTTTTTCTCTCTCTTATTGGTTCTGTTTCTCTGAGAACCCCAGTATATCTGGGATGGGCCTGGGATTTCATATTGCTAACAAGCTTCTAGGTCAATAGCAAGGTTGTAAAGATTTTGTGCCAGGGAATAGATTCTAATAGTCTTGAAAGGTTTTAAACTAGAGGAGGGCCTTGCTCTTTTTCTTTCTTTCCTCCTCCTCCTCTTCCTCCTCCTCCTTCTTTTTAATATACCTTTTATTTTAAAAAATAAGTTACTACCTAAGCTTACTGAAAAGTTGTGAAGATAGCAGTGAGTTCTCCATCTTTTACCTAATTTGACCTGTTGTCAARATCTTATGTAAGTATGTTAGTATGATATATTTATAACAACTAATGAACCAATATTGATATATATAATTAACTGAAGTTCATACTTTTTTTTAGATTTCTTTAGATTTTACGTCCCCCMCTCCAGGATTCCAAGTAGCCTGCTATTACATATAGTCATTGTGTCTCCTTAGGCTCCTTTTTAGCTGTGACAGTTTCTCAGATTTTCCTTGTTTTTGCTGACCTTGACAGTTGTGTAGTGTACTGGTAAGCTTTATAGAAAGTCTCTCAATTTTAGTTTCTTATAATTAAACTGTGGATATGGGATTGTTTAGAGAAAGACCAGAGAGGCAAAGTGCCATTCTCATCATATAATTTCAAGGGAATGTGCTGGCAGCACAATTTATCACTGATAATTATCGCTGACGATGTTAAGCTTCATTACATGCTTGATTTAGTGTTAGTCAGGTTTTTCCACCACAAAATTACTGTTTTAACCCCCCACCCCTTTGCATAACCTTTCTCTTTGGAGGGAAGTCAGTATGTACGGCCTACACTTAAAGTGTGTGTGTGGGGCAGTTATGCTCTACCACTTTCAGGGGCAAAATTATTTTGTATGTGAGATTTGGCTATTCTCCCCTATTTATTTACTTATTCAGTCATTTATACTAACAGAGTTCTTATTATTTTATACTTGGATTGTAATTTGCCACTATGTTCTTTTATTTTGTCAATAAACTTGTTTCAGTTTTGGCAACTGGGAGCTCTTTCTATTGGCCCCTCTCTTTTAGTGTTTCTTTTAAATGCTCCCCTTGTAATGTTTTCTGAGCAATATCTCACTTTCTGGTACAATGAAATGTTCCAGGTTCACTTGTATGTTCTTTGCTCTTGCCATTTCTCCAAGGAGAATGATATTAGAAATCAAGATCTAGGAACTGGGTTTTCTTCTTTATACTGAGGTGTCATGATTTTAGGCCCAGAGAAGATACTTTTGTTATTGCATTTTTAAAAAAATGATTATCCCAAGAGGAGTTTTAATTTTTTAATGTTTATTTATTTTAGTTATAGGTGGACACAATACCATTATTTTATTTTTATATGGTGCTGAGAATCAAACCCAGTGCCTCATGCATGCTAGGCAAGCAAGCCACAACCCCAGCCCCCAAGAGGAGTTTTTAAAAAGTATAAGATGACATCTTTTTCTTCCTTAAAATCTGGCATTTACTTCCTGATTTCATATTACCATAGAAGATTGTTGTTATGTTAATATTATTTATTTTTTGATTGGTAATTCCTTCCTTTGCTAGTACTCTAGACAACCACTATTCAGTAAAGTATAATGCAAACCACATATGTAATTTAAAAATTTCTATTAGCCACATTAAAAAGTATAAAAACAAAAAAAGTGACATTAATTTTATAACCTACATTGTTTAATCCGTTATATCCAAAAATTATCAATTCAACATCTAACCAATGTAAACTTATTGAAAAATGCTCTTTTTTTGGTACTAAATCTTTGAAACCCTGTGAATGTTTTATACTTACAGCACATCTCCATTAGGACCAGCAACATTCCATGTACTCAGTAGCCCCACTGTGGCTCAGGCTKCCATACTGGACAACACAGATGGATACTGTGTGGGGGCTTATTCTCTCTGCCTCTTCTCTACCCTCCAAATTCTGTTCTTCACTGGGAAAGGAACATCTTTTGGGCAGGGTACCTAATTCAAAAGTCTCTACCTGCTTTCCTCAGTTTCCTCTTTAAAATAATGTGATATACACTTTACCTCCCTCCCCCACTATTTTCTTCCCTCTCTAATTCCTAGATTTTCACAAAAAAGCTGGGAAGGAATCATTAAGGGCTTTGCTTCTCTTTTAGAATTGAGCTAGCTTGAGTCAATTTCTGTGCCTGCAACCAAAAGAAAATTAATATAGTGAATTGAGTCAAAGGGAGCTTTCTCTGTTGTTCTATTGATAGCTTTATATTTTTTAAGGCAATGTCACTTTGTTTTGTTTACAAATATATTTAATATCTGTCCAGATTACTAGTTTATTATTATTATTGTATGAATTTCCTTGTCTRTTTTGCTTGCTTGTTCTTACAGATGGAATTTATTATTTTATTAATGTTGCCAAAAATTTTAAGTAAAATAGCAATTATAATAATAAAATGATTTGTGAAAGAAAAAAAATAATGTGATATAAAGCTCAAGGGTTATTTTAAGGATTAAATATTTAAATAAGATGATGCATGTAAATTACAGTAGCTGGTGGGTAAGTCTCAATAAATTAGCAGTTAGCATTTTATTTTGGCCAAATTTGCTTAAAAAATTAGCTTACACATCTAAGGAACACCTATTTGATTTTCATTGTATTTCTTTTAAGATACATACTACATTACATGTGGAAGTATGGAGTTGGTGGTTGGTTATATAACTGTTAAGTTCCCTTTTATGACTGTAGGTTACCTAGGAGCTGGGACCAAATATTATTTTTGTACCTGAGCAGTTCCTAACACTGGTTCTCTCTTTTTTTTTAAATATAGGTGGACACAATATCTTTATTTTATTTTTATATGGTGCTGAGGATCGAACCCAGTGCCTCACGCATGGTAGGCGAGCGCTCTACCTCTGAGCCACAACCCTAGCCCTGGTTCTCCTTTCACTGTGCTTGTTATATTTCACAGGATCTCATCATGTTGGCCTTGGATAGCCTAATATGAGAATTTCAAGTAAAGAGGAACATATGGGGAGTAGAAAGTTGAATGGAGGACAAATACTCTAACCATTAATTTAGAAGTGATAAAGTTGGTAAAGGAATGTTTTGATGACCAATGTTGTCTTATAAAAATCATTCCTTTTGTGCT